CTCTCCTTCTGACCCAGAATTGGTGAGTAATGGAGTGCCTGTGATAGAGACAGAGGGAAAAGTGACCTGTGAGTGCATACCTGATGTATGCACACGTGTTTATGCATGTGCACATTAGTTAATAAGTATGGGTATTTATTCAGGTAAATTGTGAATTCCATGTGTGAATTCTATGTACCCAATATTTTTTAAAGTCACAGAACATGAAAAATTATATTATATCACATAGGGGTGACAGGTGAGGCTGCTCACAATATTCCTGCTCCTGACAGGGGTGCAGCCAGCCAATGGAAAGCTACAGGACTGCTACCTGTGCAGGCATGCCTGTTGGGAAGCTCTGTTGTGAGGACATAGGTGTTGGAGTCCGAGCCCACGTTTATGCACAGAAGGGTTGGAGTTGTGAGGTGTGGGTGGGCAGCCAGCTAGACAAGCAGGTGTTGGCACTCGGTGACAAGAAGTGGACTTGGGACAGTCATGGGTGGGTCACTCCTGGGTAGATGGGGAGAAACTTGGCCACACCACCTGCCAGTTTTAATCCTGGGCCACCTGCTAGCCCTGCTCCCACAAACTGGCTTCCCATGTCCATGGGAATCTCAAAACCACAGATGGAGGTAGCTGGGGCAGGATTTTTATCCCCATTACCGGTTAGGAAATGAAAGCCAGAGGTGAAGTGACTCACTAAAAGTCATAAGAGGACAAAAGCAAGACTGGCCCCAACTTTGAACTGGGTATTCTTTTCATTACACCCCATCTTGGCTATATGTGTTATCTTCATAATCTGCCTGAAGGCCACTCTGTAATGATGGGGATTAAACAGGGACCTGAACAGTCTATGGTGAGTTCCACTCAGGTACTTCCTCAGCCATTCTTCCTTCCACTACCTCAAACCCAAATCCGAACTTTAGCCTTGCTTCTCTCCCCCCTCAAGGCTCCCTAGGTCGCCTCTCAGAGGTTCTTGAATATAACTAACTGAATTGGGTCAACAGTTCGGAGTCAAGTTCTGGTTCTACCACTAATGAGCTGTGAGGCCTCACTTTTCTGAGCTTCAGTTTCTTCACTGAATAGTAACAGTGGTAGTAAAAACAACAGGTATTGGAATAGTTTTATAGGTTAAAATCACTTGTATATTATCTAATAGAATTATCATCCCCTTTTACAGATGAAAAAGCTGGAGGCCTGAGAAGTAAAATGAGTCCAAGGTTATTCAGGAAATGTCAGAGCTGAGATGCGAATGAGCCCTGGCCTAACTGGCGTCTAAGTCCTTTCCTCTGTGCTAGTGAATTTCCTTAGCACCGTAGAATTCTGCAGCCGGGCTGGAGGTGGGAACTGCGGGAGGGTGGGGGGGATTGAGAATGCGTGGGTAGAACACCCACTCTTTGACCAACCCCAAACTGCTTCAGACACGCGCAACAGTTCTACACAACACTACTGATTTTCGTGGCATAGCAGAAGTTAAAAAACCTGGGCTCTGGTCCTGGCTCTGTATGAACCCGGATAACTTACCTTTCTTCTTTTTCTCTCTTATTTTTGTTGATTTCAGAGAGGAAGGGAAAGGGAGATAGAAACATCAATGATGAGAGAGAATCATTGATCAGCTACTTCCTGCATGCCCCACACTGGGGATCGAGCCCGAAACCTGGGCATGTGCCCTAACTGGAATTGAACTGTGACTTCCGGGTTCATAGGTCTATGCTCAACCACACTGGCCAGACTCTTTTTATTCCTCACCCGAAGATGTTTTTATTGATTTTTAGAAAGAGAGGAAGAGAGAGAGAGAAACATTGATGTGACAGAAACATCAATTGGTTGCCTCCTGTATACGCTCCGACAGGGACCCGAGCTGCAACCCAGGTATGTGCTCTGACCGGGAATCGAACCTGTGACATTCCGGTACAATGCTCCAACCAACTGAGCCACACCAGCCTGGGCTAGCTTACTTTTCTGCATCACAGTTTCCCTTTTGGTAAAATGAAGTTATTGCAGCTCTGATAACATGATTTTCTTACAGTGCTATGAGACTGCCAGGCTTCTCCTACAGCAACATCACTGAGCTTTTTCATTATTTTTCCTATTCAGGAGGAACATGACAGTACCTCAGTGATGTGGTTTTACACTGACTTGGTTTTTTAATATTTCTGCATTCCACAGATCCCTTTATCTGAGAGAAGGCAGACTCTGTGATGAGGACTCGGAGCAGTTCACTAGCCCTGACGATGAGACCAGAAAGGCTAGACCTGCACTGGAAGTGAGGCGACGTGGTTCTCTGGGATGCTTCGCTACCTTCCTTTGGGCACCAATTCATGGACTCGTCACTGGGTCACCTTTAGGATGCTTGCTGCTATTTACAACTCTCCCTCTCTCCTCTTACCAGTCTGGGATAGTGGTCCGTGGATCATGAGGGGCTAGATGATACCTAGCCAGTGTGGCATGGTAGGAACATAGGTTTTAGCATTTGACCAATTCTTAGCAATCGTTCACTGTGTGATCTTTGGCAAGTTATTTAATCCATTGGAACCTAAATTTCACCATCTATAAAATGGGGATAGTATTGCCTACCTCACAAGGTTGTTCTAGAAATTAAACAAAATAGAATCAAAAGCACCTGGCATATAGTGCTGTTATTTATATGCTCATTCCCCCACCGCCACCTATATTTCTGTATTTGCTCTAGCCTTTGTTTTTTACACTCCAGAACTAAGAGGTAGCAGAGTCCCTGGATTGAGTGGTTCACTCTTGTTCCCGCCCAGCACAGGTGAACTATAAGCCTATTTAGTACAGCAACAATCCTATATAATAAAAGGCTAATATGCAAATTGTCCCCTCGACCAGGAGTTCAACCAGGGGGTGGGGCCGGCCCGCCAACCGCCAGCAGGCCCCTCCTGGCTGACTCGGCCCGATTAGTCCTGGTCAGGGTGGGCTGGCCGGACCCCACCTGTGCATGAATTCGTGCACCGGGCCTCTAGTCTATATATATAAAAGCCTAAGTGACTGTTATGATTGGTCACTATGATAAACACTGACCACCAGGATCACTAGCCCTGATGATGAGACCAGATGCTCCATGCAGGAGCTGTCCCCTGGTGGTCAGAGTGCTCCCACAGCAGGAGCATCGCTCAGCCAGAAGCCGGGCTCACAGCTGGCAAGTGCAGCAGGAGCCTCTCCCACCTCTGCAACAGAGCTACCGAGCAGTGGCAGCAGGTGCAGCGGGGCTGGGAAGAATGGGAACACCGCAGCACCGGGCTCCAGCTCTGGCTCCTCCCCGGCCACCTGCCGCTTCGCCCACTGCTAGATCCCTCAGGGGATGTCAGACCTAAACCGGCAGTCCAACATCCCCCGAGGGGTCCTGGATTGCGAGGGGGCAGGCCAAGCTGAAGTATCCCACTGGTGCTCGATTTTCGTGCACCAAGACTCTAGTTAAAAAATACCTTGTATTTGTACATTAACTCTAAAGTACTTCCTCAGTCATGATTTTATATTCAACAAGTGGCACTTGAGAAGAGATGGAACTCACCTGATTTTGCCCAGAAACCACTTATAATCACCTGCCACCTACTTTGAAGTCACATGGAATGAGAGAAACAATTTTATTAATCGCCAAAAACTAATCTGATTATAAAATCTGAGTCTGGAAACAACTTTCTGGACAAGCACTTGGATTTGATGAGCAATAAAGAGTAAGCTCAGCCCTAGTTGGTTTTGCTCAGTGGATAGAACATCAGCCTGCAGACTAACGGGTCCCGGGTTTGATTCTGGTCAAGGGCACATGCCCAGGTTGCAGGTTTGATCCCAGGAGGCAGCTGATCAATGATTCTCATATCATTGATGTTTCTCTCCCTCTCCCTTCCTCTCTGAAATCAAATCAATCAATAAAAGTTATATATATAAAAAAGAGCAAGCTTGTAAGCTCATTCCAGTTAGGTGGGATCTTTTACTATTAATTGCACTGAGCTCCGCTGAGAGTGTTAGCACTGAGCCCACTCTCTCCAGGATGATCCATCTAAGAGCAAAGACCCCTTTGCAGAATCAGTCTTCTGTTCTCCTGGTCTGGAGTCTCCTGCTCATAAACCACCTGCTATATTGTTCAGAGAGCTCAAAAATGCAAGCCTGCCCATGTTATTCCTATTAAAAACCCTTTAGTGACTGCCTACTACCTAGAGCAGGAGTGGGGAATGTCTAGTCCACATGCTGCATATGGCCTGAAAAATTATCTGGTTTGGCCTTGCCAAGGCATTAGGGTTGAGTTAAATGTTTGAACAAATATAGCAGGCTGTTTTAAGTTGATAATTTTGTATGGCCCGCGAATGATGTTAAAAATATCCAATGGGTCCTTCGCAGAAAAAAGGTTCCCCACCCTGGACCGAGGATCAAGTCAAAATTATTCTACATGACTTACAAAATCCTCCATAATCTAGCTTGCTTTGTTTTGCTTTGCTCTACAACGGGAGCAGGCAAACCTTTTCTGTAAAGGGCCATATAGTAGATATTTTAGGCTTTGCAGGCCATAAGGTCTCTGTCACAACTACACAACTCTGCCCTCTGCTGTTGTAGCATGGAAGCAAGCATAAACATGTAAACATGTGAGCATGGCTGTGTTCCAAAAGAACTTACTGGCATGGGCCTGATTTTGCCTATAGGCTATAGTTTTCTTTTTTTTTTTTTTTAAATATATTTTATTGATTTTTTACAGAGAGGAAGGGAGAGGGATAGAGAGTTAGAAACATCGATGAGAGAGAAACATCGACCAGCTGCCTCCTGCACATCTCCTACTGGGGATGTGCCCGCAACCAACGTACGTGCCCTTGACCGGAATCGAACCCGGGACCTTTCAGTCCGCAGGCCGACGCTCTATCCACTGAGCCAAACCGGTTTCGGCAAGGCTATAGTTTTCAACTCTGAACTAGAACTAAATTTTGTTTTTAAATCTGTCAGATGTCTTCTTAAAATTGGGTAAATGGAAACTGACCATTTTGTTTTTCTTATGACAAAAAGGAGTCAGAATGTTCAGGATGACCATTTTAATAACAAGGTATTAACATACAGATTAATACAAACTTCAGATATCATGAAATCATGCTCCACAAAATTCGGAAATAACTGTTCTCAGTGAAACCAAAGAAAGTGTTTTGGAGACTTCAACGCACTGGATGGAATTCTTCAAATTTGTCACCATAAGTTTTCTTATCTATAAAAGGAAAGATCACAAAAGATTTATGTTTAAGTTATGTTTTAAATCATATTTCCTAAAGAATAAAATTAAAATGTAATATTCTTACAGATAGAAACTCCTAAAATTTCCTTCTTTTCTTGTCAACCACGGTTTGGTGATCACTGAAACATTTTGCTATACTGAATGGATTTTGAAGAATCTGTGGTGACATCCAGATGGCTGCCTGGAGGGGCAAGGTGCTGCCAGGGGGATCCTGGCTAAAGGGGTGAAGGAAGGAAGAACAGGGAGGGGCCCAGAGCTGAGGTGGTCAAGCACTCCATGCATGAGGCTCTTGGCACACCTGCCAGTAACCTGCTGCGCAGACACAAAAAGAGCCCATGAGACTATACACGCTCCTGCTGACAGAGGGAGCTAGTGGAAATATGGAGGCAAAGAGCTAGAGGTCTGGAACTGAGGTCTGCTCTGCCATTGGTTCTCACTCTTAGGAATCAATATTCCCAAGATTCCTTCCAGCTCTAACATATAGCAGTTCTGAGTATTCCCCATGCGTCATACAACCACTATTCATGGCTTTGTACTAGTCTTTGAGCTCTTCAATGGCAAAAACAAAACAAAACAAAAAACTGTACCTTTTTGATCCACCGTTAATATTACATATGTGACTAAAGGTTATAGGAATGTTAAATAGATTAATAACATTTAGAATAAACAGGACCTTAGAGATCATCATTCAGTCTAATAAAATTTCAATCCTTAATATTATACATATAGGAAAGTCTACTTAAAATCTATGTATTTACACATTTAAAATTTTGCTTTTCTTTTTCCTTCCTTCCTTCACATATGTACACATCTGTACTGTGTGTATGTGTAAAATAAAAAGAAGGCAATTACATCATAATTATAGTTGAACAGAGATAAGCAGTTTGCTGAGGAAATTCCTGTCTGTAGCTGGGTGAAAACATCATTGAGATGATGAAACTTGAGCAAAAATTTGTTAGGTGGGAAGGGTGGAAATGGAACAAGAGGAGGATCAAGAAAAAAGTACAGTGTGTACAAAGTGATACAGGGCAGGTTCAGGACCCAGCATTTCATGAGGCAGGGTTCTGTGTTCAGGTCAGCTATTATTTATCAAACTAGTGGCCCGGTGCATGAAATTCGTGCATGGAGGGGGTGTGTGTGTGTGTGTGCTCCTCAGCCCGGCCTGCACCCTCTCCAATCTAGGATCCCTCGGGGGATGTCTGACTGCCGGTTTAGGCCCAATCCCCCAACCGGCAGTCAGACATCCCTCTTGCAATCTGGGGCCGCTGGCTCCTAACTGCTCCCCTGCCCGCCTGCCTGATCGCCCCTAACCACTTTGCCTGCCGGCCTGCTCGCCCCCAACTGCCCCCCCCAGCCGGCCTGCTCGCCCCCAACTGCCCCCCCCCCCGCCAGCCTGCTTGCCCCCGACTGCCCCCCTCCGCCAGCCTGCTCGCCCCCAACTGCCGGCCTGCTTGCCCCCAACTGCCCCCCCCTGCTGGCCTGCTCACTCCAACTCCCCCCCCATCCCCTGCCAGCCTGATCGCCCTCAACTGCCCTCCCCTCCTGGCCTGATCGCCCCTAACCGCTTCTGCTTCAGCCCCGCCACCATTGCTTTGTCAGGAAGGACGTCCGGAAAGTCTCCTGGTCTAATTAGCATATTACCCTTTTATTAGTATAGATGGCTAATATGTGTTGGCTCTGTCCTAGAGGCTGGGACATTCAAAGATGAAGCTGTAGTCTAATGAGTGACACAACTATGTATAAGTAATGTGGTGGATAAAAGGTATGGGCAAAGTGTTTCTACCAGGCAATTAACCCAAGACATGATCTTCAGCAAGACCCAAAACAGAGGTGACTGAAGGCAAGTGCAATGATTCAAGCAAAAGATTATTAGGGTCTGAACCAGGGTAGTAGCAGTGGGACAGAGAGGAGAGTTCAGAGATGAGAAATAGGAAGCAGAACAGTAAGACTTGATGGGAAGTAAAAGAGAAAGACTTGAAGATGATTCGCAGGCTTCTGCTAGAATACACAGGTGGACAGTGGTGCCATCACTGAAGTAGGACACAGAACAGAAGGTCTGGGCAGGCAGAGGGGACATGAGGGTCTATTTGCTGTCTGAGGTACTTAGCCAGAAACCTGACACATGAATTCAAGAGAATTCTGGTCTATAGACAACCATGTGGGAGTTAACAGAATAGAGAAGATACCTAAAGCTACAGACATGGAAAAGATTAACCAGGGGAAATGATGCAAAGTAAGAAAGGTTTTTTACAATTAACTTGAAATACCTTTTTCAGGAAAATCCTCTGGATGTGATTTTATATATGCAAACATATCATGGTCCTTCACAGCATACATATAGTCTTGACGTTTTAAAAGATAATATCCAACAAAAAAAAAGGAAGTAACATATAGAAGCTGGCGATGCAAACCTGAAAATCAAATCCCAAAGAAAACAAAAATCAGTCAGTCAATATAATGTAAGATTATATTCTTACATTTCAGATTTATAATTTGTTTTTCTTCTAAAATTTTTTTAAAGGACTTTCTATATGGCTATTCTGAACAAACAGCCTTGATCTTGAGATGTCTTCTTAAAGCAATTTGACAACTATAAAAGACAACATTAAGTCTACAAACATCATTACCAATAGAACCAAGATTTTTTAAAATAAGGTTTTATAAATTTCTTCATGGAAAAAAGTGTGTAAGTACCAAATCCCAAATGCTAGACTGAGAAAAGAAAAAAATATTTTCTTCTTTGATAAGTTAACTTTAGACCTAAACTAATCTATATTCCAGGATATGTTCAGGATATGATGTTCTGAGGGAAAGTCATCCACAAATGGTCTAAAAGCAATTTTGTTGGTCTTCATATACTGATTTATATTTGCATAATTAGTAGTTACTAAAACAACAGGCTAACTACAAATATATCTCAATTCTCTTTTGTACCATCTAAATTTCCTCCTATTTGCATGTATTATCTATTCAAAAACTATATTTAAAAAAAACATTAAATATTTAAAAAATCACTCTATTATAATGAGACTAGAGAGGATCAAATCACATGCCCTAGAGAAAAATTAGTTTGAAGGGGAGATCCAAGGGTATGAACTTTATATATGAAATGTTTTTTGCAAAAGGCTAACTGTAGGTTTGATTTTCTAGCTAAGCCCCAGATTTCTATCCCCAGTCCTCCACTTCTTATCCCACACACCTTCCTTTGGAGAACTCGTTTATTACTATACTTTTATCTACTATCCATGTGCTGGTGACCCACAAGTACATCCAACTCAGACACTCATATTGAAATACATCCAAGTATGTTCATTTGAATATCCCCAAATGAACTCATTTCCTTCCTATTCACACATCTTTCTCCTAATTCCAAGAATAAGACCTTTTACCCATGAATCTAAGTCCTGGGTAATAAACACAGTAATCATCCTTTATTTCTACCCTCTTCCCCATATCCAGCCACTGAGTGCTGTTAATTCTACCTTGTAAATATTTCCTCACTTATCTCTCACTTGCACTAACTGGTCTCCCCTTCATCTAATTTTTCACTCCATAATGATCCCAGCTTTTATCCTGTCACTAGAGGAATTTTTACTGAAATATAAACCTAGCTTGTTGGTCCCTTCTCCTTCAATTACGGTCAACAGGAGTCCAAATTCTTGCATATGACCTCTGAAGTCCTTCATGAGCCAACTCTCTCACCTTCATCTTCTGGCACTCCCTGAGAGGCAGTGTGCTCCAGCAGCACTGAACTGCTTTTTGCTTTTTAAAAAATATATATTTTTATTGATTTCATAGGAGAAAGGAAAGTAGAGGGAGAGGGAGAGGGAGAAAGAGATAAAAATATCGATGAAAGAGAATCATTGATCGGCTGCCTCCTGCATGCCCTCTATTGGGGGTCGAGCCCACAACCTGGGCATGTGCCCTTGACCGGATTCGAACCCGGGACCCTTGAGTCCGCAGGCTGATGCTCTATCCACTGAGCCAAACCAGGTTGGACTGAACTGCTTTTAACTCCTCACAAAAACTAGGCTTCTTCATGCTTCTACATACCACACACTGATTATTTCTCTGCCCAGAAACCCTCTGATCCTTCAAGGCTCAACTCAGACATCACTTCAGCTAAGAAGTCTTCCCAGAACTTTCCTGAATTTAAAAGGGTGAGCTCATCTCTATTAATATGTAAATTGCTATAGTAATTATTTCTTTCTCTACTACCAGGCAACACCAATGTTTCACTCATTTTTGTATACCAGCACATAGATAGCAGTTAATATTTAATTAAGTGAATGAATGACCTTGGGCCAGTCAATTTATTAACTCTAAAACAAAGATAATACCTATCCTATCTTTCTCACAGCAGTAGTGTATAAACAAACAAAAAAATGCATATAAAATATTTTTGAAAAATGTGTAAAACAACAAAAATGTAAAATATTACTATGTCCTGGGACTGGATAGGGCCCAGGCTCTTCTGCATTCTCCCTTGCCCCAAACAGCCACTCTTCTCCCAAATTGGGCCACTTGCAGCACAGCAAACCAAAGGGTGCTGGCTGGGTTGTCCCATGTGCCACTGGACTACAAAGACCGACTTTCTGTGCTTCCCCATATCTCTCACAGCAAGACTTCATAAATATGTTAGACGTTGTCAGTGACCCAGCCCTAAAGGCAGGCTTAGCCTCTTCCCAAGTCCCCATTTCCCTAACCCAGTGGTTCTCAACCTCCTGGCCCTTTAAATACAGTTCCTCATGTTGTGACCCAACCATAAAATTATTTTTGTTGCTACTTCATAAATGTAATGTTGCTACTGTTATGAATCGTAATGTAAATATCTGATATGCAGGATGGTCTTAGGTGACCCCTGTGAAAGGGTCGTTCGACCGCCAAAGGGGTCGCGACCCACAGGTTGAGAACCGCTGCCCTAACCTCTCTTCCTCTCAGTGGTGTCTCCCTCTTACCACATAAACCACCCCTCCACAATCATTTTCCCATTTCCTTTACTCAGTTAATCTAAACTTGGAGCCATGGTGCTCTTTGCAGAACACCGTAAATTACTGATCAACTAGAAATCAATAAATATTTAATTTTGTGGACTACACATAGATACCAACTAACTGTAAATTTAGGGCAGGTAAGTGGTAGCCAGTAACAAGGTTTTAAAAACAAATGATAGGAGAAAAGTTTAAGAAAAAATTCTATATAATGTTTTCTGTTAACTTGAAAAAGATCTGCACAATTTGATTTCATTGATAGAATATTCCAATACTACCTACAGAATGCCAGGTCCTCTCCAGGGCTATATTTTGAAAATCCTTTCCCACTCCTCCAGCTCTGTCACACCTGTTCCCTATGTGCATAAACTTGTACCACAATTTGTCTTTTGAATGGATATGCTCATCTGGTTTGTAAATATTTGGGGGGTTGAGACCATGTTTTATATTTCCTTGCAATCTACACAGACATATTTATCCAAATAATACTTATTGAGCACTACTATATGCCAGACATTGATCTAGACCAGGGGTGGGCAAACTTTTTGACTCGAGGGCCACAATGGGTTCTTAAACTGGACCGGAGGGCCGGAACAAAAGCATGGATGGAGTGTTTGTGGAACTAATATAAATTCAAAGTAAACATCATTACATAAAAGGGTACGGTCTTTTTTTTTTTTTTAGTTTTATTCATTTCAAACCGGCCCACGGGCCGTAGTTTGCCCACGGCTGATCTAGACACATTATGAATTCAATAAATGCTAATTATACCTAGGGAAACCCAGGGAACTCAGGAACTCTGACCCCTAGCTCTGGGCTAAGTGCTTTATATACATCATCTCATCTAGTTCTCACAGCCACACAAAGAGGTAGACATTCACCTTACTTCATAGATGAGGAAACTAAAGCTCATAGCGATAAGTTGCTTCCCTAGAATCAAAGAATCAAATGGCTGGTAAAGTGGAGGTGGTGTCAAACCCAAGTCGTAACCACTAAGCTCCTCTGTCTTCCAGAAAAGACACAAAACCTAGTTTGATAAGGCGAGATTAAGTAGTATATACTTCACATTTCAGCCAATCTGTACTTGCTCTGGAACAGTTCCCCTCTGATCTGTACCTCCTATATGCTCCACAGGCTCTCCCTGCTCATCCACTTTCATCAAAACAGGTAACGGTCTCACCTAGACCCATTTGTCCACCAGACTAAAAGCTCCTCAGGGTCGGGGATGGAATTCCTCACCCCACATACCCTGTATGTCAGCGGTCGCCAACCGGTGGTCCGCAGACCATGGTAGTCCGAGAGGTCCGATAGGTTGGCGACCGCTGCTGCATGTAACACTGCCTGGCAAAGAGAAAGAGCTCTGTAAATGTCAAACAAACATACTGTAAACTGTCTGCATAACAACTGCTAAGGACAGGGAACTCTGTCCAGCACCTTTTGTGGGCCGTGCATGTTACCTATCTCACTTAACTGTCACAACAAATATGCAAAGATCAATTACTCCCGTTTTATAGATGAGGAAACTTTGGCTCTGGACTGCCTAAGTAACTTGCCCAAGGTGACCCAGTTGGGAAGCAGTGGAGGAAGGCCATTTAGTTCCAAAGTGGCGCTCTTTCTCTTACATGAAGAGTAAGACTTGGTACATGAGGAGTGGTAAAGAGAAGGGAGAAAACCCCATTCCTCCATAGGCAGAAATGGCCAAAGATCACTCCCTTCTGCAGAGGAGGGTCATGTCCAAGGGAGAAGGGACTCCAATACTATTTGAGCAATGGAAATGCTGAGGTTTGGTGGGCTGGAAGCTGACCTCCAGGCATGACATACAGCTGGCAGAGGCAAAAGAGGCCCCAGTGAGGTGACTCCTGCTTGCTGGAATCACTGCAGGATTAGCTTTCTTCCTAACTGGGCTCCTTGGCTCCACTCAGTATTGCTTCACATTGTTGAGAGAATTGACACAGGTCTGATCATTGCATCTCTGCCCGCCTCTCCCAACAACCCAAGCCATCAAAAGCTAAAAAGGTTCCCGCCTGCCTAGGGAATGGCCACGGGGTACCCACTGGCCTTACTGCCCTCGCCTGCACACTCACTCACTCACTCATCAAACCACCTGCCATCCACAGGCCCTTGCCTTCAGTTATTCCTACCAGCCCATAGGTCTGGGAGGCTGTTAAGTCATAGCTAAGTTCAAAACCTCCCAGTTTCCCTGCACTTTTCCCTGTGGAGATCCACAGCCCTCGGCACACCTACTGTGTCGGCTGTTAATGGCTCTGACAGGGCGTCGCTGATACACTAGGACAGTGGTTCTCAACCTTGGCTGCACATTAGAATCACCTGGGAATCTTTTTAAAATCCTGATTTCTGGGCCTCATCCTCGGGAAATTCTGTTTCTTTGTTTATGGGGCGGGGCCACAACATTAGTAACAAAGAAACAGAATTTCCGGAGGATGAGGCCCAGAAATAGGGATTTTAAAAAGATTCCCATTGCCCTGACCGGTTTGGCTCAGTGGATAGACTAGACGGCCTGCGGACTGAAAGGTCCCAGGTTCGATTTCGGTCAAGGTCATGTACCTTAGTTGCGGGCACATCCCCAGTAGGAGGTGTGCAGGAGGCAGCTGATCGATGTTTCTCTCTCATCAATGTTTCTAACTCTCTATCCCTCTCCCTTCCTCTCTGTAAAAAATCAATAAAACATATTTAAAAAAAAAAGATTCCCAGGTGATTCTAATATGCAGCCAAAGTTGAGAACCACTGCACTGGGAGAAAACACAGCCCGGCGGCTTGGAGCCTCCTGCTCAGAGCGGAGCCTCTACACGAGCAGCATCCGCGGTGTCCGGTAGTTTACCATCGGGCCTCCTCCCAGACCGAATGAGTCAGAATGCACATTTTAACCAGATCCTAGGTTAGTAGTAGCACGCTACCGTGTGAGAGCACTATTTTCAAATACAGACTCTGAGGTCCAAAAACAGGCTCTGCTACTTATTGGCCGTATGACCTTGGGCAAGCTGCTTGACCCCCGCGGAGGCTGCTTTCTCGCTGTGGATAATGTCTCCCCGTGAGGTGCTTTGAGGATCAAACGCCATAATGTGCCTAAGTGTCCGTAGTACATGCAGCCTGGAGTGAAGGCTCATTTTGCACACATCACAGCGCGACACGTAAGGGGCGCGGGCAGTCCACCGCCGGGCCCTTCGCAGCCTCACTGTGGGGTCGTGACTTCCACTGCACCCCGTTTCCTAGAGCCACACGCCCCCCTTGGCCCTGCACAATTCTGAAGCGCTCACGGGC